AAAAAAAAAAAAAAAAAAAAAAAAAAAAAAGTGAATGGTGCGGAGAGATACTTGAGACGAGCAATTCGGTCGATGAGTTCAGTGGGTACAATTTCGTGCTGCAACAGAGAGGAGAATTTTGTCAATTTAAGCTGAAAAATTAAAAAGAAAAATAATAATTAAATTAGAATTTGAAAATGGAATGGTACGAGAGACGCACATTCCTCATGCCCAATTCAACGGCAGTGAGAACCCTAAAATCATCTTTGGAGAGATATCTCAAGACATCTACGTCAAGCTTCATTCTGAAATCTTAATTAAAGTGAGTCCGGAGTAATCTGGAGCTAATGCAGAGTATTCAGTATGTGTTATTCGTGAACAACCCCTTCTCACGAATTCAGAGAACAAAGTTGCAGAATGCTTTGGTTGAGTTGAGGGATGCTATCTGTACTGTCTAGTAGGGCACATATTTTTTTCTTGCTTTGGGCCGGGAGACTCTTGTCTCTGGGCCTTTTGCGACCCGTTTCGTATACAATGAAGGCCCAAAAAACAAAAAAAAAAGCCTTTCAACTTTTTTTCAATTTATTTTGATTAATTTTTAATTATTTTAATGATAAAGAAAGTTTTCATAACATCAATCCCTATAAAATACAAACATTCTGAAAAAATGTTTTTACGAATTTTTCTTTAACGGAAGAATTTCAAAAAAAATATTTTAATTTTATATTTAATTTGATTTTTATTTATTATAATTATTTATTAGTTGAATTATAATAATTTTAAAATAAATTATCAATAAACAAAAATAATCTTATACAATAATACAAATTACTTATTATAAATTTTAATTTTAATTTATATATTTAAAAATATTTATTTTTTAACTTTTAAATATAATTTATATATTTAAACATTTATACATAATTTATTTTAAATTTTAGTCAGATATAACAAGCATAACATAAAATAAAATACTAGTTATTATATAACTAATAGCATCTACAATGGAGGTTACTTATAAGCAACTTTTGTACCACATCACTATTACATCAACTCTGACTCACTTTATGGGTTGCTTAAATTTTAGTAAAGCTGCTTGTAGAAACAACTTTACTAAAATTTAAGCAACTCATAAAATGGATCAGAGTTGATGTAGCAGTAATGTAGCAAGAAATTATTTATAAACAACTTTCATCGGAGATGCTCTAAGTATTTTGATGGTTGATTTGATTGATGGAAAGTGGAGATTCTGGAGTCTGGACACATGATTTGTGTTTGATTTTAATTTTTTCGTTTGTGGGATGAAAAATTCTAGATCTTCCGAATATTTCGAAAATTGTTCCAAATCCTTAAAAAATTAATTTAAACTATAAAAATATTAAATTAAATAATTATTTTATAATAAATTTATTGAAAAACATGAATATTTTAAAGGTTCAGAGGATGTTTCAATTTCTTTTTCGGAAAATGTATCAATCTTCTTGTGGGATTATGATTCCTCCGGAAACTAATTTTGTGATTTTCTCATGTTGTTCGATAAAATGCTCCAGTGAAATGATGTTTTTCAATGGATAAACCTTTTACTTGGAAAGCTTAACCCCTTTATAATTCTTATTTTCTTTTTATATTTAAGGCTAAATATTGTTTTCTATGACTACTTGTGCTTTCTTAGCTTAAATGTTTTCTTTGAATTAACTTTTTAATCACAACTTAGGTTTTGAAAGTGAGACCATCATTATAAGTTAGCTTATATTGGGAGTCTCATGTGTTTTGCTTGGTTTTGGGGAGAGTAATTGAAAGAAATTAGAAATCTGAACCTAAGTAAAAAAGAGGACCATTTTTACCATCCTTCTAGCGTTAATGATAATGTTTGTTATTTGCCTCATGTTTACTTTATTTTGTTTAGTTTTATTAGAAAGTTTTGTCTTAGAACTGATCTTTTAGGAAAAAATTATATTTGATGTTGTCTCATTAGCACTAGTTAAGAGTATCTTTTGTGTTTATATGTATTGTAATCTTTTTTTTTCCTAGTTGCTACTATTGAAAAAGATTCATTCAGGTATTTTGATTTTGGTCCAAGATCAAACCATATAGATAGTTTTATTAAAAAATAATTATTTTTATGTAGATCAACTTGAAACATTTCTAAACACACTTTATTTATTTCTCTTCAAGATAGTATTTATATTTAATGTCTTATTATTATAGGGACATCATTCTTACTAAGCATAATATTGTCAAGTAAAGCTATCAAAGTAGATTTCAGTTTATAAATCAATCTGACCCACATTAAAAATATGCCAAATTGGGCCAAAAAAATTAAAAACTTCATAATAGATCAAAAAATCTAATCCGACCCACTTTTAACCTAGCCTACTCGGACTGAATCTATAATGAGTTGGGTTGTTCACCTAATTCACTTACAACTTTCATCAACCCAACCCAACTAATAACTCACTTAACCGTTTATTATTATATATGTATTATTTTAACAAAATATCATTTTTTTGTAAATAAAGATAAAGTTGATGTTAAATAATATGAAATTACTATAGATTTTATTTACTCAAGTCTCTAATAAAATTTAATATTGATGAACAATGACTATAATAAAAAGGAATTTTTTTCATTTTGATTATTTAAAATTATACACTTTTTAATTAATTTTAATATTGTATACATGATACTTGTTTGATATTTTTTTATTTTTAAATTAAGATTATTTTAGATTGAAGCTTATTTTAAATTAGAATTTTTTTCTTAAAAAAAAGGTGGGTTAGCCCACCAACCTATGATGGACCAAGCTATATTAAAAAATTTTGAACATTAAAACTAGTAGGTTAGATTGGACCAACTCACTTAAAAAGTAAGTTTAGGCAAATCAAACCAATGAATCGAATTAGTCTATATTATCTAGGCTAAGTATGAAAACTCGTCTCTTATCAAGGCTTTAAGTATGAGAACTCATCTCTTGCCATACCTTAGGGCTTTGCATTTGCAAAAGGAATCTCTTGAATCCAGGTAATGTGATCTTGCATTCATTCCCAAGTTTTGGATACTTTTGTCTTTGTAGAATATTGATGAATTCTATCATGGGGAATGCCCTGAAATATATTTGTGATAAAATGAATGAAATTATAATTTATTACTAAAGCGGAATTCTCAAACCATTTGTTCTCTCTACTTTGGTGATTTGTTCTAATTATAGTGGTACCTTTTTGTCTCTCTAAACTTGACTTCCAAAAAGAAAATGTGAAAGAAATTAGTTTCTAAACAACTTTTTAGCATGACTATCATTTGTAATCCAGACATATATCGGTTGTTCCATATAAAATATTTCTAAAAGTAGTATTTTAAAATTTTAATAATTAAATTATGTCAATGGTAGCATAATTCTTGAAACCATAACAAACCGGTCTGTCCAACTGGGTCGATTATTTTATGGATAATTTAAATCTGGCTTATTATTTTATAGTATTTATTGTTGATTATAAGTTATTGTATATGCGATAAGACTAGTGACCTGCCCGTCCGTCTCCTAGTCCCTTGGCTGGTTGATACTTTTTTTTTATTTATTGATTTAACTTCAGAAATCTAAATATATAGCCAATGATATAAAATGCCTTGTTTTATCATCAATATAAACCACCATTCAAAATTTCAAATAAAGATTATGCTTCGGTAAACACCTACTTTTTTGGTTTCTAGTACATATTTTTTGCACACTATGGTATAAACTATGAAGCCATCACTAGGAGGAGTATAACACAAAAAACCAAAGAGAGATATTATACATTGGCGAGCTTTCACTTGAGTTCAATCAACCCTTGGTCCTTATAATGGTAATGGAGCCTCTACCCTGGGTGTGAATCCTAGTAACTGCCACTGCTTTACCTGAAATTCCAAAACCACGAGTTGAAATGCATGAATGAGTAAGAGGGTCTCCCACAGGGTGTGGAATTGGCTTTGTTGGGCTCATCAGCATCTGGTGATTTATATCTTTTAGGGTTGTTTCCCCTTCAACTCCTCCAGGCTTCACCAACTCAAATGGATAAGCTATTTTCTTCCAATGACCCCCTAGACAAGAAAAAAGGACAAAAGGGCACTTGACTGAGCCATTACTTTGAAAACAAAAAGAAAGAAAGATAAAAAAAGTGTTGGAAATGGAATAACAAGATAAATAATTTTTACACTCATTCAATTACAAATTATCATATACAATAAATTTGATGGTTTCTGATCGATTAACAGTGTAAAAGGTTACACTAAATGCCCAGAAATTAAACTAAAAAGAATATGGTACTTAAGACTGAAGTATTACTTTCATCTGACTCTCTAGATGAATAGCTCCTTTGGGAAGAATCTTGCTTGGCTGCAGCTGCATGTGTATCATTATTTTGTGATGCTGATAGGCTCCTAGCGCTGAAATTTTTGTGGCCTGTAAAGAAATATTTTAGAGTCAGTGGTGTGTATGTTTCAATTACTATCACTACTACCAAATTTAGTGGCACACCTATAGGCCAAAAATTTTATTGTTAGGCTGTTCATTTATTGCAAATTCTAAACTCCTTTTTATGGACAAAGAATCTCTGGCCACACAATAGTCTTGTGAAAAAAGCCAAGGAGTAGTAGAGAAGAAAAACTGAACTTGAATAATAACCAAAAACATTATCAATGGAGTTATTTCCCAAATCAAGCAAGATTGAAAAAGAAACCAGGGCATACCATGAAGGATTTGAGCTGTTGGAAATAAATCTTCCTGATCAACCAAATACTGGCTTTTCTGTAATTAATTAAATATCTTGTCACATTTCATAATATTTAGACAACAAAAGCATTAATAATTGAGCAAAAGTAGAGAACATGAAACCGTACATACATAGTTAACCTTTTGATCTTGAGAGTAGGATGGTAAATTGTGTTGATTGCACCAAATACCCCAACCTGCAATAGCATCTTCAAGGTACCCAGAAGATGTGTCAGATGCAAACCAAGACTCTGCTGCAGCAACATCATAGAGCATAATAACCAAATTAAGACCACAAACAAGTAGAACTAGTAGTGCCAACTAGTAACAGTATTCTTTGAAACAAGGGAAGCTCAAAAAAGGAAACAGAAAATGAAAAACAACACTGAAAAAAAGGATATGATAGCATATATACCAAGAGTCAGATCTGAGTGAGTGACTCCAATGTCCAATTCCATGGAGGCAAGGCAGTGAGAACACAAACTATTGAGGGTGGTAACTGGTAAGTACTAAGTGGTAATGTATTCAGGTTAGAAGAACATTCATATATGGGTACAAAAGTACTACTGTGTTTCACTTTAAATTATTGTCATGGGGCCCCTGAAAACTCTGAAAATACCCACCTACCTAACCTTACATTAGTCAATGCAAATCCAAATAATAAATGGGCCACATTTATTAGAGTGTTGATTATGCAATGTGACTACATGTTGATGAAATTTTTGGTCTGATTATATTCAGGAAGGTTTTTCCTTTTTCCCTTATTCTGGAATCACTCGGGAGAAATAAATTAAAACAAGCTTTTTGGTCACCTCCAAATTATGCACCTTTCCTTGGAAGATGCTGGACCATGAACAACAATGTGACATCATATAATAACAAGATTAAAAAGTAATGTATCTAGATAAAAGATTAAAAGGTGATGACTTGATCTCAAGGCTTCTTTGAGATCATGTTTCTTTAACTCTTTGTCCACGTCTCAATGTTGACTGCAGAAAGGTTGGAGAAGCCTAAAGAGAGATTACTATAAGTGGATTCTTTTCTGTTCAACCTTTTTTCCTGTTTTGAAATATTTTCTAATATTTAAGATTTAGATATATTATTTTATTTTTACAACAGGAAACAATTTAAGCCAAACAAAATTAAACTTATTATATTATTGTTGTACAACGTTGAATTAACCATTGTACCAAATAAAATAGTTGAACTAAAGGTAGAAGAAAATGTAAACAGAGTGAGCAATAGTAGGCTATTCCCAAAGGAGATTGAAAAGCATCACCATCTGCTTTTCTAATTGGCTATATATCTCTTTCTTAGGTATAGATTTTCAAAGCATGACAAACTTCTTTTTCTTTAGAGTATAGTTTTCTTTTTATTCCTGTTCTATGTGAGACAAGAAGGACAAATGAAGCCACGCCGAATACTTTGGCTTTTGAAGTTTCTCGTAATTCAGCCTTTTTTTTTTTTACTTTTATTTATCCCTTTTTTTCTTAAATACTTTTTATTTCTTTTTCCTTTTTTATCTATCCCTTTATTTTATTAAATAGTTAAGTTGGTAAGGTAGGTGATTATATTACTAACTGCTACGAGAGTAGAAAGAGTGGTTGATTTGCAGTAATACTTTCATGTGAGAATGCGAAGATGGGAAACGAAGAAAAGAAAAAGTAGATAAGGAAATAAATATCAATTCGAGACTTTGACTTAGGAGTTAGGAGACACTGCTCCAATGAGGAACAAAGAATCTTTCATTTATTATTTTCTTATCCTGAAATGTCGTTTGGAAATCAGCAACGTTATATATACAAATTTTGTACACAAAGGAGAGAAGTAGAAAAAGAAGATATAAAAATGTATGATAAAATAGATGATACAACGGAGACGGATAAAAAACTATGTGTGTAAAGAAATAAAAATATCATATATAGAAAACATTACTCTTTGAAAGTTGGTGAAAAAGTCACATGGTGTAACCTAATATTAAAAGATATATCGAATATTATTACATAACTTTCTGAAAAACGTGAAAATAAATATGTTTATTATCATATTCTTATTTTAAAAGAAGATGACGTAAAATAAATTAAATCTGGAATCTTATTTAATAAGTTATCCTTCAGTTTGGTATCTTCATCTTTTATATGAGATTTAGCCCATATAATATTAAATATTTAAATTGATATTAATTTGAGTTTTCTTGTCTGACATTTAAAGCATGGATGGATTCAAATGATATGAATAACTAATAAGTTCAAATATACGATAATGGAAGCATGCATTTAGAGTATATATTGCAACTGAACCAAAAAACAAAAAAGTATCACATTGCAAGAGAAAATGAAGTGTGGTGTAAACCGTTCAAAAGTTGCTATCGGTTTGAATGCATTGATCTCCATAAAATTGGATAGGATATTCTGGCCCCCTCCTTCTACTCATTAAGATGGGATAGGAGGCAATTGAATGAAGATTTTGATATGAGTATTTACCATGGTAACAACAACATGTCTATAGTATTCTAACTTCTAACTGAATAAAAATGATAAATAAAAAAATTTAGAAAAAAAAAAGTGAACTTAAATTTTTATAATGAATTACAATTGTTTAACTTGTTTTTCTATTATTATGAAAAATTGTAATAGTATATTACCCACTATAAATTTTCTAAATTACAAGTTAAAATATTCAACTGAACATTTTTGCAAGTTGGAATCAGATGAAAGTGACACTAAAACTAAAACATCTTCCAAACGAGGTAGAATTAGATTTTTTTCTTCTTCTTCTTCTTTTGCTAAATAAAAGTTGAGGAATGTATTACTACTTTTTTGGTCAAAATTGATGGACATAATGAATCCTGGAGTTTTGATGGAATAAATCAATGAACAAACTTTTTGTTTTATAGGACCCAAGGCAATAAATAAAAGTTGAGAAATGAGAAGTGAACGAAACTAGTCCATGTTCATGAGCATGATGGGCACAAGCTTATTGGTTGTGGGGCTCTAACTATATAACATATTGTTGAAGCCCACTTCTAACTTTGATTGTGATAATATCATATCTCAGAATCTCCCAAACAAAACAAACATCTTTAACTTCTTTACTGACTCAGTAAATCTTACTAGTGTATGTTTTATATTCAATTTTAACAAAAATTCTTTTCAGAAAGATCATAAAAATTTATTTTTAAAATAAATTAAATAAACAAGCATATATTTATTTAAAACATACAGTTTTTTTATATAAAATACTTAATAATATTTCAAATCTATTATGAGTCATTATATTTATTAATAGTAGTAATAGTTCAATACATATAGTTATAAATAAAAATAACAGAACTTGTAGGCTTTTCACCCTCTCAGGCGTAGTTTTTTATATAAATAAATAAATAAATTTTTAAAAAGTTTTCAAAATGGATAAGTCGTATTTGTTACGAAACATTTTTCAGTTGAGAGTCATGTTTCCCAAACACTATTTTTACCGTTTTTATTTTTTCTTTAATGAATGTCATTATCTTAAGAAAAAAAGAGTTTTTTTTTTTTTTTTAAATTGCAATGTGATGAAGTAGGAACATGACTTGACATTTTTCTCTTTTTTTAACATTAATGTAGTTTTTCTTAACAATTTTTTAAAATGTTTTGCTTATAGAATAGAAATCGCGGTTTTGCATTAGAAGCTGTACTTCATAAATGGAACTTATCTCATTTTTAGATTTTGTTGAAAAAATTTACTCACTTTAGGATTTAAAAAAATTACCCTAAAGGGTAAAAAAAGTTGAAATTGTACTTGAGAGTAAATATTAATTCAATATTTATATAAAATGATTAAATTAAAAAAATTAAATATTAACTGGTAATATAAATTAAATGATAAAGTATTATATATATATATATTAATATATATATCAATTAGCAAATATTTGAAAACTTCTATTTTAAAATATGTTTTATAAACTAATATTTTAAACAATGATTAAAAAAAAAGTTAATGTGTATACTATTGTGTGTATATTGATCATTATGTTATACATGTAAAGTATGTATCCATTAGTTTTATTGATGAATGAAATCATTAATCTCTACTTTAAAAAATCACATTTTTAATAAGATTCTTCTTTTTCAATCACATTCACTCAATCTAATAACTGTGTTAATATATACATACATATGCTAATTGATTTCATTGGTGTACCTTTTTTGGGCGTTAGCTTTAAGAAAACTATTCATAGGAAAAAAACCATATATTAAATAAACTTATATTACATTTAATAATATAATAAAAATTAATTTAATGTTATATAAACACAGCATTAAAATATATATATATATATATATATATATATATATATATGTGTTATATTATTTCACTTGTTGGAACTCGGAAGTTTGATTTCTAGCTAGAGAAAATTTATTAGAAAATCGGAAGAAATTGATTTCACGTTTATGATTTTTACACTTGAAAAGGATTATTTATGAGTTAATCACTTATACATTGTCAGTTTAAAGTTTTTTTATATTGGCAACTAATTATATCTTTTAATTGTGTCATGTCATTGTTAAAAGTAAATGTGTTTACGGTGACATGGCACAATTAAAAGATATAATTGGTTGTCAGTGTAAAAAAATTTTACACTAACAATGTATAGGTGATTAACTCATTATTTATTACTATTGGTTAAAAGTTGTTTTTTTAAAATATTTATGATTATCGGTTGAAAGTTATTAACAGTGTAATTAAAAAAAATTGCAATAAAAACATGTAGAGATTTATAAAGGACATGATGTGTTGTAGAAGTCATAGAATACTGAATTTAAATCTAACTCAATCTTATAAAATCGGCTTGTAAGGTAATGGTTGTTTTTCACTTATATATTCTTTAAACTCCCTCACGTCCAGTATTATTGGGCTTGGTATGTAGATAAATAATGGGTGACCCTTTTGAATGATCTAAGATAGGCGGCCCATTTTTAACGATCTAGGATAAATCTGATACCATCTTAGAATAGGGGATTCAAGCTTAATTCAATCCTACAAAATTGGCTTGTAAAGTGAGGATTATTTTCTACTTATATATTCTTTAATTACCTTATTTCTAGTTGAGGTAGGACTTAGATTTTTTCTCAATTAAGAGGCCTTAATTTTTGGTACTTCAATTCATTTCAGGTTACTCTTTCACATTAAATTTTGTTCAATGTCTTGTATTGTTGTTTGTCTCATGACCTTCAACTAAAACGAGATAAAGATTTTTGAAAGGTTATTGTTGAATTTAATTATAGTTAACATTGGACTCCTCGCCATAAATTACACTCTTCTACTCGTCTTTATTATCCTATCATATTGCGAAGATTAAGATATGCGCTTTCTAATGGACTAGTTTTATGAAAATATGTGTAAAACGAAGGAAACCAAGTTAATAATTTACCAACAAAGTGTATTCTTAACATGAACTACATTTAAAAGATTATTTTCATTGTTTTTTATTTCATCTCTTTGTGGCTTTGTTACTTGCCATCTCGGTGGAGGTATAGGCTAAAGAAACTATTTTAG